CTAAACCGTCTAGGCATCTGGATCACTTAAAAGCCGGCGTCCCCATCCCCTGAGGGCAGCACTCGTTCACGTTTAAGACCACATACGAAAGAGCAAAAAACAAGTTTATTTACCGCATTCCGTGTGCTAATGGCTCCTGCGCCTACGTATGCCATACAGGTCGACGACGCGAGGCCCGCATAAGCGAAAATAAGCTGACTATTTGGACACGTGATCCCCTTACCTCTCGTGTTTGCCCACGCCGTTGCTTGCCACCACCGGTTCAACTGAGACATAACTGACGTGGTCTTCAAACCTAACATAAAACCGACTCGAGAATTTCTAGACGTTCGAAATTGCAGCACGAACTGCATTGACCGACACGTCAATCTGGATGCACACTACGAAGGCCTGCGTGCACAGTTCACTATTTACGTCCAAGGTGAAAAAACAACTGATTATCCATGCTAGGCCAAGCAGATTTTCACTCACTGTGCATATTCCGATAAGTGATCCACAACTGAAACGTTCACAACCCTCCTCTCACTTTCGGTACCTATTGCAACACGATTTGCGTCCCCCTAACACCCGTCGTGCCTTCAGCACTTCGATGTAATCCCTGTCCCCAAACTCTATACTGCGGTAATCCCAAACCTCACTGCTCATTTCGTCTGACGACGGGTTTGTGTAAATAGCTTCAAAAATCACGAGCATACCCCCAATCTTTCCGAAGAGCTTTCTTTCTTCCTATATATGGCGTCACTTTCCTCTGACAATCTTCATCTGCAGTTGAGTATTAACAAATACGGAATCTTGCCCCAGAAGGAGTGACTCACAAGTCCGTAGGAAGTATTTTCAACATTAGGAAGATCAATGTATTGCGCACTATTAATGATCGCACAGTGCCCAGAAGTAATTGGGACAGACCAAAACTGTCCACGAGTAAGCGGGACGATTATCATTATGTGCCTATTGCGACCGTTCACAGGAAACATCTGCCGATATTCTCTATGAATATAATTGGGAAAAGGATTCAACCGCAAAGCCTGCGAAGTCGACCCGGATGGTCATATTTACGAAAATATTCCCTCGAGAGCACTGCGTGAACAGCAACTTTAAAGAAATGCCGATGCATGAGGGTTTTGATGGCCAGTAAATTAGGAGATCGGCCGACCTGGTGGTCGACAACGGAGACATCTAAAAGGGTGCCTTCGGTTAAAACGGCACCCAGGGACGCTCAATAGAGGCCATAGTCTTATAGTCTAATGTTTAAGTTCATCTCTCTAAACCAATATGAAATTGATAACGCTTGCAACTATTATCCATCTTTTTAGCCAAAAGCCGACCTCTCCGGATGCGGCCCCCAAACTATTTTTATTCTTATGGACAGTCCAAATATCAGTCTTATCGAAGTTAATTTTTGTAATTATCAAAAGAAAGTAACACTAGGCAAGGAAGAGTGTTTTTTCACAAGAAGAACTTGATTTCATGCTAAATAATCACCTCGAATGAAACACTGTAGACAACCTGGCTATTCCCGTGTCTGACAGAAATTATGCTGTCTTAAACGTAAAGAATCGGTTCACCAGCTACTGATCTTGTGTAATAATTGCCACCCTCCCATTCTAAGACCTTACTCCTTAAGAACTTTAAATTTTGATTCATTCAGGTAATTTGTAAGATAGCCATTACCTAAAATTAGGATTTTTAGTAGGCTTACTAATTTTTAAGTTAGAAGCATTACTCTATAAATCAAATCATGCCATCTTTTAAAAAAACAATAATTTCTTTGCTGTTGTAAAACCTTCGGAGATGCAGCGTGGTCTAATTTCGTGCAACAGACATTTCCTCGTGAAATCTGTGAGATTTCCCGAGTCACGCAATCCACTGTATGCATTTACCCGTGCTCTGAAACGCATGAAAAAGTCTCTGACGCGGGCGTAAGTACTTTCTGCGGCAAATTACAGAGAGTTTAGGACACGTACACTTCTAAAAATTAGCACAAGACCGCCTACCACCATGCGAGAGTGTGCCCGTTTCTGTGTTCGGTCCAAAGACCGTTAATCAGGGACCATTTCGTCCCGAAAAATATCATATTTCTGGCTTCTCTTTCCCCATACAAATGATCCTCACTGACCAGTAACTAAACATACACTTCCACAAGGCTCCACTTCACTATGCCATTCGCTGCGCGTCCACATAGACTTATTGCCGCTGCTGACAGAAAATAGAACACTTTTCGTGTTCGTAATGCCGACTGCTGTTTCAAATTAATCCTCATATCTCGTGTATAGCTCCCTCCACTGATCGACGGTTTTTTTGTCTAAAAAATCCAAAATCCCATTCAAACTTCTATAGCTTCCGGAACATGCCCAAGGAGCTTTTTCACTGACAGTCCTTTGTTGCTTTTGTTCCCTGTCACTGGTTCGTGTCATTTGGCATCGCCAAAAAGGTGAGGTACTATTCCTGCAGTAATTGCATAAATTTGCTCCTTCGTTCTAGGATTTTGTGTGACTGTTTTGTTTCGTTTATCTGAACAGATTTGTCACACTCTCTTGTATTCAATATTAAATTTTAAAAAATTATACCATAACCTGTATGTAAACAGATAGGGAGTTCAAAGGTATCAGCCTATAGGTCCCTCAAATAAACTAAACTAAGCATAACTGAAAATATACGCGTTCAGCAGTGTTTTGTTGGCCCGGTACCGGGGCAAATGAAGTTTATGTAGTGCACCTTATATGCCCCTAGTCCCAACATTTTTTCCGACGGAAACGGTGGTTATAGGGTTTTCCCGCAATACGTTAAACGATAATACAGATTAAGAAGATCTACAGATATCAATTAACAAAATTCCTAAATACAATAAAATAAAATGTATCTAGCAGTTAGTTAAGTATATTCCACTGCCTATCCTAATTCCCCACCCATAAAGCCCTATAAGCACCTTTTTCAGAGGACAAAATGCTGGGACTACGGATAAATGAGGTGCGCTACATAAACTACTGTTGCCGGCAAATGTCATTCCAACAAATACTCACTTTCGCAGGTAGATTAACGATACCCAGATTGTAGCCAATCAGGAAGGAGGATCCCAGACAGGTCATGAAGACGGCTCCGAACAGAGCCAGATTCACTGACAGCTGAAAGTATAACAAAAATGAAAATAGTCTACCAGTACTCAGCGGGGCAGAAGAAAAATCCACGCTAGAAGGACAGAAGACGTATGTTTGAACTGAATATCAAAAAAATCAAAATTTTAACTTTTCAAAAACCTTGCAATGAAGGTAAGTGAATGATAGTATTTCACAGTTGCGGGAGAAATACATTCATGTGACCCTGAGTTGTCAGGTAAGTACGAATTTCTACTGGGAAGCGTGAAGCCTGGGGTTCCACTAATACCTATTCTATCACGTAAATGCTAACGATTGACCCTCAGAATCCCGTGCCAAAGTGTCTCGAACCAGTCGTTCGTTCTTTGTTCCTGTTTTGCAGCTGAATCACTTGCGTCGCGTTGTAGTCAGAGTTTGGCAGAAATGTGCAATCAACACACACGCACACTAACAACGGACAGAATTTTGCCATTTGGAACATTGCCTCTGCTTGCATGTGAGTTTGCGTCATAACTTTAATGTTCCAGCAGTCAACTAACTCCGCATTTCATTAGGAAGTTTTCTTTCTAACAACGAAAAACTGCGGGAAACAAAAGTATTGGTGGGAGGAGTCTTAATTGCGATCGGCGAGTAAAAAAGGAAATACTAATAAGCACATCATATGCTAATGCATTGAGAGGCTGCGTCTTGACTATGCATGTTATGGACATAAACCAGCATTTATGAAATCGTCGCAGCCTTTTTTAAATCAAAAACAAAAGCCTAAATAGTTGAGTAGTAATAAAGGCATGGTTTAATAAACGCGACTTACAGTAGAAGCACGAGTTCGCGGAGCCATCCCTGGTGTCTTCTCGGTGCTAGTGGTCGCAGTAATAAATGGGATAAATTAAAGCTCTGTTGTTCTGTCATAAATTCAATATATTGCCTAATTTAAGTGCGAGATAGAAGATGCATGCAACAAATTTAATTCTGAGCTCTGAAGACAAATATAGGGGTCATTCCTTAAAGAATGCAGGACCTGTAGGTTCACCGACAATTCACCCACAGACATCACCGAAGTTCACATGGAATAAAAAAATTTTCATACAGACGAAAGGATCGCAAAAGATTTTATTTGTTTTTGCAAGGAGAACAGTGGGGAGAAAGATCATAGTTCCAGGTCAGGAAATCTCTCCGCGAACCACTTTTAATACGAAGCTCACGTGGGGAGGGAGGAAACGCTGGTTATTTCTTGCAAGTCCAAACCGCTCGCTGGGTTTCAAAGATATTCTTTATCCTTCCACAAAGGCTCCATCGTTAACCCAGTTAATCGAGCAAATGTTGCAGAGGAATGTGCAAAATCTCACTCTGTCGTTTTTTTCAGTCGGTCAGCTCACCAGGTTGTAGGGCAACCAGTCCATTGCTCCAAAACATTTCAGAAGGAGCGCTGAGAAACAGCGGCGTTTTAGGACGCAGCATGCCGGAGGACAAATATTTTTATTAAGTTGGTTTTGTTGAGCCAATCAACGACCACGCGGAACGTTCATTGGTAGAGGTGTGGCTACTTGGCCAACGCGAAGGCACGGTCGAACGTTGTTGAATTTGCTCCCCGCACGCCTTCCGCGCGAAGGGTAGGATATGCCACGTGTCACCCTCCCCGCTAAGGATGCCTAAACTGGCTCAAGGAATGACTGAAATAATCTAACTGGCGTAGTGGTTCATTTGATAAATGCAGGTTTTTTATGATAAACTGCATCAACTGCGAGGACGCCGTCCCTGAAATGCACGAGCGCACATGCGAAGAAATGTCATAAATGATGAAAAGCAAAGGCTCTTGGCTGCGACACTTGCATTACTACAGGGTGTCCCAAAAATGTATACAAATTTTACCAATTTTTTAAATTGGTGTTAATCATAATTTTATTATA